ATCAGGTTGTTTATATGGACCCTCCTCAAACTCTCTACTGTAGTGGCCCATAAACCACTGCTTCAGAGCAGTGAAGTGCTGAGAGCAACAGCAGCTTGGCTGTTCTGGTCAACTTGCATTTTAGTTTTTTTTAACCTTCTCTGTGATTACCAGGGACATTGAGGTATAGGGATCACACACAGCCCCTTGCATTTGGTTAAGGCAGTATGGAGAACTTTCAGTCTATATGTTCTCCCCTCTGTAGAAAAGATACTTGGAGCCTTAAAGCAGTTTGGTTCCCAGCACAGTCTCCAGATGGGTGGTAGCTTAGGGTGAGATGGCTACATCATTGTTTTGTTTCAGCTGGCTCACCTCTGGTAGGCTCATTTCAGAGCATTTCTCCATCCCTGACTTTCCATTTGATAGACAATGCAGGAATGAGACACCAGCTTGACCCTGCTTTGCTTCAGTTTCCTGCCCATGTAACTCTCCTGTGCAGCTGATCAGCCCGTGTTACCTGCAACTCTAGCCTGAGTAGAGCACTGCTGATTTACAGCCCTGCTGTCTCTGGCCTGCCCATGTCAGAGGAGTCAGATAAGTTTAAAACTGGAATAATGCAAAACTGAGTCTGGAGATGCACAGAATACATGAACAAAGGCAGATTTAAAAAAAAAAAAGAGACTGTGTTAGGAAAAGGCACACATGGCCTGGTTATTCTTAATTACTGAAGCAAAGTAAAGTAATTACTTCTCTTAAGCAATTAAAAATTACTCGAGTAATTCTTTCCCCTCCTCCCAAGAAAAATGTTCACATATTGTCAGCAATTTGTAGGAAACAAAAGGGAATCATGGGGTATAATTATGTTTGTAGAGAAGTGCCTAACTGCACGTGTTTTACATGTCTATATATACACATAGGCACATACATGTAGCAAACACATTATTCAGAAAAAGGGGCATTCTTTCCCAGCTATACCCAGCCAGCAATCCCAAAGCTGATGGAAAAACAGAGTCTCCTAATGTTGGTCCTCTGAGTGAATCCACAAAGTCAAGGGCACATCTAGAAACTGAGCACCTTGTAAGATGAGGTGGTGGGATGCTAAAGAAGGCTACTGCTTCCTCTAACGGCTCCCCTGACTATTGCTCATTACCATCCAAACGAGAGGAGAGGAAACAGGGGCTGCTTTTCACCTTCCAGGCAGGAGCAAACTGTCACCAGCAGCAATTGCTGCCTGACCCCCAGCAATGGAAAGAGGCATATATGAGTATGTGGGTAAACTGATAAGCCTGGCGGCTATTTCTCTGGCTGCCCAGCAGGGTCCTGCCAAGGGAATGGGGAATCGGTTTGACATTGTGCCACTAAAGTGGCACTGGGGGAAGGAGAAGATGGCCTTGGATCTTATTGCTGTTCCTTACCTCCTTGCACCACCTCCCCACTTGCCTAGGTGGTTGGCAGCTGTGCAATTATCTATCAGGCTTTTGTCCCGTCTCCTTGGTCCGCCTCTGCCTCCCAGGGCCCTGCTCACAGGCAGCCTGGGGCCAAGAACAGGAGAGCAGCAGCCTGGGCTGAAAGAGCCAGGAGGCAACTCTGTGCCCCAGCTTTTTCTTCCTCCTTTCTTTCCCTTCTCTTTTTCCTTCAGTCTCACCTCGTCTCACTCTCTCCTTCTTTCCTCTTCTTTCACGTCCTTTCCCCTTACCTCCAGCTACACTCCATCTACCCTTTCCATCCTCTCTCAGGTCAATAATCCTATATTCAGTCCTAACTGACCCACCAAGCATGCAGACAGCGAGAGGTTTGGGAATTGGATCGAAACGCTATTGGGCTTAGAAGCCTATACTTTTTAATTCTATGCTCTCTCTCCATTTTTCTCTTCTTTCTCCCCACAGCTCCTTCTCAAAGAGAAGTACTGTACTCCCAGCCTCTTAACTGTAAGTTAAGAAACCCTTGTCAGGACAGCAGGCTGAAGACAGACAGAGAGACTTACACACAGCTCACAGAAAATCAATAGGAAAACCCTTCTTTCTAGTGTTAAAAAAAAAAAAAATCAGTCACAAAAGCGCGTAGGAACTGACTTGGTGCCTGGCCTAAAGATGCACTGTTCCCAAGAATCATTTCCACCAGAGCTGGATTCACTGGCATTGCAGTGTGTCACCTTGGTGTCCAAACTAAGTGTTGTACTCAGACCTGCAAAGTCCTGACTCCTGCTTCCCCTGCTGTGCTTAGAGACTAGTTGGTAACTCACTCTCTCTCCTGTCCTGGGTTACAGAAACATCACCTGGCACCTGTTTACCTTGTGCTTTGGCTCTCAGCCTGCCCTCAGCATCACTATCATCGCAGGAGCTGGATACCCCAAATGAGATCAGGGGCTGCTTGGGCCCCTGGCTGTCACTATACACAGTGCGAGCGCTTCTGCCACAGAGACTCTGGTGCTCAGGCACCCAGCAAGAGCCCTGCATATGGGGAATAGCAGAACAAAGGAATAAAGTGACCTGCCCAAAAACAGAGACAAAACCTGTCTTCCATCCCCCAGCTCCATCTCACAGGGCTCGTGTCAGCTCAGTTTGCCAGCCCTGCTACCCCAAAGTCGCCTAAACTGGCATCTCTTCTGCCTTGGGTGCTGCAAGGGGCATCTTTACCTCCAACGCTTTCCTGTCAATGTTGTGAGGAGAGCCCCCTTGGAGTTTTAACTACAACTGGCAGAACCAACGGAGGGAGAGAGCTAGAGAGGAGAACTTAAAAAAGGCAAGAAAAACAATCCTCTTCAGACTTGTATTGTGAACAGTTTGATCTGGGAAGTGAAATGAGAGAGAATATGCCTGGCTCCTTGAAAAGCCATTCTGAGAGCCTCTTTGTTGATGACAAATGCTAGCTGAAAAGCAGAAAGGATCCATTTGATCTTTTTTTTTTTTTAAGCTACATGAGTGCTTATAGAAAAAAGAAAGAGGGAGAGAGAACCACCTCAGGTTCCATCAATTCTCATCTGACTCCCCAGATACCTCTTGCTCACTTCTCAGTCCCTTTAGTGTATTCAGCCAAAAGCTGAAATCCTGGTGGAGCTAGAACTGCTTCTGTTTAATGTCTGACATGTAGGGATGACTGCTCCAAAGGGGAGCTCCTAGTTACAGCCAGGGCTGATTCCAGGGAAAGATTTTTTCAGATACAAAGGGGTTTTGCAGTATTTGAACCCCTCTAAGAAGGGAAAGTCCTGGCTCTTTTTCTAGCTCTGCTACTGAAGCACTTAGTGATTCTGGGCAAATCGTTCACCTTACCACATCTCAGCTGCCCCACGTTACCAGGGGAGAATATTATTCCAGTGGAACTGGATGATGCCACGGGGAAGAACCAGCTGAAGGGTAGGGGATAACCACTGTCTGTCCCAAGGCGAGGCGGCTGTGTGGGGCTCAAGCCAAACTCCAGTCCCAGTTGTGTCAGCTTGAGGCTGTGGGCCTCGCGGAACTGCTGATAAAGCCCATTCACTCAAAACAAGCCCGCTATCCCCAGTCACTGCAAACACTCCACGGCCTCCCTCGCCAACACTGGCTGCCCTCTGGATGCGGCTGGCAGGGGAGCAAGCCTGGGGTAGTGAGTTGTTTGGATCTGACAAGCTCAACTTCAGAGGATGGCCAGGAGTGGCTGGGCTGGAAAGGCCAAGGCTGAAGGGAAAAAGCTTCCTTGTTTGCAAATTTAGAAATTAGTTTCAATCCTGCTTGCAATGAAGGCTCCCTAACAGGGATGTGCCAGGGAACCAAAGCCAATTCTGAGCTTCTGGAAGAAGCACAGCTCCAGCCACTACAAGGGTCCGGCTCTCCTCTCACATGTGCAGGTTTCACCTTGGAGGGACACCACTAACAGTCATGGGACTGGGCTCTTAGTCTAAGGATGGACCAGAAGACGACTGAGGTTTCTACAGAGGTTCCTCGATCCTGGATGAAGATTAAGTGTGCTGCTGAGGGTAGGAGGACTGTAGACCACTTACAGCTTCCATTCATAGGTGTGAGCTGGGGGGTTGGCATCAGATTTGCATATCAGCTTTACATCCTTCCGATTGAGAAACCAGTTGCCATCAAAGCCCTCAATAGTGACTTCTGGCTCATCTGCAAGGGGAAGAAAAGGATAGAGAAAGCAGGACAGAAAAGGAGAGGAAAGTTATGGAAAAAGAAGGAGGAGGAATTAAATAGGAGGAGTTGAGGGGACAGGGATAGGAGAAGGAGAGGGATTGAAAGGTGGAAAAGATACAGGACAAGGAATATGAGAGAGGATGAATGAAAGAGGGAAGGGGAGGAACAAAATGACATAGCAAAGGCAGAGAGGGAAAGAAGGTGTGAGAAAGGGAAAGCATATGATTATTCCAAGGGATTGCTTCATTTTCAACTCCCCAGAAAAAGAGCAGCACCCAACTCAACCCCGCCACCCAAGCAGCATCCTCCCTTTAGAAAAAAATCCTCTTTGGCTGGGCTTTATCCTCTGCCCCGGGGATCAACAGCGGAGCATTGCTCTCCAGCCCTGCCCATGCTCACTTACACTGTACGTTGAGGGTCATGCTGTCAGTGAAGCGGTCCAGCTGATAATTCACCACGCACATGAGCTGCTGCCGATGGGCCTCCCGGCTTGGCACCAGCCGGTACCGGCTGATCACTGTGAAGGTCCCGTTGCTATTCCGAATCTCCTGAAACTCTGCTTCCCCTTTGAGCTTGGTATCCCAAGTGACAGTGCTGGGGGGCTTCCCATTAGAGGAGGTGCAAGTAGCCACCAAGATCTTTTCTGTCCTGCCAGACTTAGCAATAAGTGGTCGGGTGGTGCCCTCCATCCGATTTGTGGGTTTGGCTACAAGGAGGTGCAAGAAAGGAGGAGGAGGAGAAGAAAAGGGCACAAAAGGATGGTTAGAAAAACAATGCTATCCTCTCTGCTCCAACACAAGACACATCCGGCACCACTGAGCCTGTGACAGACCTTCTGGTCAATCCACAGCTGATGCAAATTGGGGGGAAAGAATGGTGGAGATACACTAGATGCAGTGCTACAGAATGGAGTCATACCTTTCCTTCCATAGGTTTTCAGCCCTATGTTAGAGAGGAACTCAAACTGGAGAACAAGTGAACCATGTAGACCTTGGATGGGGTCAATTCATAACCCTAACTCATACCCTAACTCATACCCCTAAACTCCATGGAGGAACTCTCCTTGTGCTTAGGATCTCTCTGGCATCTTTTACCTCTGTTCACCTGACAGGCACCAGCACATTAAGCCTCATCAAACTCTCGGAGAACAGATCATTGTTATTGCCCCTACCTTAAGAGTTTGGGAAACAGGAAGTGATGTTCCTGGGATAGCTCAGTGAACCAGAGAGTTAATCCAGTCACCCTGCTTTCCCTGTTCTGCACCTCCTTATGGTCAACTTGAAAGAGCATTGTAGGTAAAATGTATACCCAAAATTCACCTCTGCCCTGAGCTCCCAGGACATGAGTCTCAGACTCCACCAGATCTCTTTAACTGGAGGCAATGGTTCACAGTAAAAAGTCCGTCCAGTATCTTACCCAGCACAGTGAGGTTCAGTTGACTTTCCCGGTTGCCAGTTGGGAAGGTAGCAAACTCACAGATGTAAACTCCTTCATCCTCCAGCTCTAGCCGAGAGAGTTGAATGGTGCCATCTTTGAAGGAAGGGTTCCGGAAAGTTACCCGCTCTTTGTAGGGAGACAGGATGGAGACCCCCATGGCAGGGTTGTAGATGGCCACATTTTGCTTGGAGCCATTGGTGGCTTTCTGCCACGTGACCTGCGTGATCTTCACATTGGGGAGCAGATTGGTGAAGCTGCAGTGCAGGACCACATCTGACCCGATGAACCCCGAGACGGTGTCATTGACTAAGACAATCTGAGCTTGCAGCCCTGTAATGACACAGAAAGACATGAATATATTTCTGAGACAGCGCAAGAGAAGAAAAGAAAGCTTCTTCAATATCGGGCCCATGAACTCCTTTATTCTATGTGCTTCTTCCTATCATGGCTGATCAAAGAACAGTTTATGGCTACATCCTGAATTCCAGCTGCTCCACATGCGGATTAGGCTGCAAGACAGTGCTCATTTCTGGCATCATATTCATGACCTATTAACTAGAGATCCTCCTAGCCCCATGGCCCCAGGTCTCTGCCTTCCTGTTTTCTGAAGAGCTGTCAAGCCCCTGAGGACCAGCTGATGCATAGTCCTTATCTATAAAGACCATTTGGGCCAACAGCAACCCAGGATGCCAATCTGTGGCAGCCCTTATCAGGGCTGACTGGGCTCATTGCAGTACTTTCTGCAACTGCCCTGAACCAGGGATGATAAAGTCTTCTTTGCAACAACTAGCACCTTCATTCCTGTTGATAAACACCACCACCCGCTTCCACTCTTGATGTTCAATCTCACTGGACAACTCTTCATCATGACCATCCTCAGTGCTCTGGAGCCAGCTTAAGGTTCATGATCACCAACAGGCAGAAGACTGGACAAAGAATACTTCCTTTCCTTTTGCCTTCAACTTTGGAAGGCACTAAATCAGTTATTGTAAATATACAGAAAGCTTGTGTATCTGTAGCCATACAAAGGCACAGTCATTTATCAGCACAGCATGTACTAACATATGTTAACACACACTCAGACATCCATTTAATCCTTCTGGAGGTGCATCAGGAATTAAATGAGCTGCAAAGACCAAGCAGACTAGCAGACTGATTTCAGACTAGCAATAGCTCCTTACTAAGAGTAGGATTATGGCAGTGTCCATACACTCTGGATGATCTGCCTGCATAACCTAGATCTTTTGTATGTGATTGTGGCCCAGAAGTGGCTGTGTTTAGGAAACTTCCATCTTGATATGGTGGAGTAAAGATGAAAGGTGCTGGGGAAAAGTGATGGCTGGTTTTCACAACGGCTACTCTGTCTCAGTTGATTCCTCCCCCAACAACTGGAGAAAAATGTCTCTCACCAGACCAACCCTGAAATTCATCTATGGCTGCCGCTGTGCCTTGCCCTAATCTGTATGTTTAGAGCTAATGCTCTAGTAATTATATAGCCAGTATTTATAATACAATGGAGAAGCAAAGTGGTGAGAACAAGAAAAGCGGGTTTTGCTCACCCCTTCTGGCAGAATGTGAAATTGGATGTATTCTGGGAGACAGAAGAAAAGAAAGAGGAGGTAAAGGAAAAAGAAAAGATGTACAAAGAGTGAGGAAGATGAAAGCCTGATGAAAGAGAAAGAGTTTGCGGAAAGAAAAAGAAGGATGGCAAGAGAAGCAGGACAGCATCTTCTAAATGAGAGGAGACAGAACATTTCTGAAATGTCTCATTTCAGTGTGATGACATCTGTACTGTTGCTAATCACCCCTACCCTATTCTTCCAGTGGATGAACAGGACCGCTGAGTGCAAGGCTAACATTAACTCCTCAGTCTTGGCCCCCACAACCCCAGAGATGTGCATTGTGACTTCTACCCATGAACATGGGCAAGAGAAATCTCCTTCCTGCATTTTCACAGGCATACTAGTGTTGGAAAATGCAAGTCTTCTCGGCAAGCTCCCGTGTAGCCCCCTCACTCCATGTCTACCGTGCTCTGTCTGACCTCAGTGCTGACTTCTCATCTAAGCCTCTTCTTTCTCCCCTCCTCCTTCCCTCCACGTCAAGCCTGTGACCCTGAGGACAAGCCTCAACAATCCAGCGTGCCCCGAGACGCCATCAGCTGACCACAGTCAGCAGCAATCAAGACCGAAACTCAGCCTCTAGAGCTTTGTGTGGACTTGCCCCCTTCCTTGAGTCAAGCCCTGGTTTGCCCCACACCCTGCCGCTGGGGCTGGGTGCTGAGGAATGTTTTCAGCGCTGCTTACAGTCACAGCAAAGCACTAGTGCCCTCATGTGCTTGCATGCATGAAGCCTTCAGAAGCTGAGCTGACAGGGTAGCATGTTGCCAGTCACAATGTGGATAGGGTCAGTACTGCCATGAATAACGTCCTTTCTGAAAATGGAGAAAAGTGATGTTCCTGCTCTGAGGTAGTCACAGCTGGACTGTGTTTTCCCATGCTTCCTGGAGTCATTGGCCTCAGGAAAAGGATGTCCAGGCAGTAAGACACTGAGTAACACCTTTCTGAGACCAGTGTGGCCTGTGTGTAGGGGGACCTGCTGTTCCACAGTGGCCATCCTAAAGAAATGAGGGCACTGAGTGCAGAGTAGGGCTGGACTGGATAATGCTATGCTGGGATTTGAGGAAACAATGAGTAGACGGGGAGAGGGGAGATGTCTCCAACTTGCTTTGCAGCATACTCTGCTCCTTCTACTCTGGAGGTGAGAAAGCATCTTTCAGAGTTGCCCACACCTGCAGAGGAGAGCAACAGCTTTGCCAAGCAGTCTGGCTCTCAAGTGTTTAGAGCCTTACAAAGCATGTGGGAGCTTGCTGGAGAGCAAAAGCAATCACGTAGCAAAGGCCCTGGGAACAACCTGCCACCCGTCTCACGGCTGCCTGGCTGTAGGTGTGCTGAGCACTCCCTCTTTCTACCAAGGCTGGAGGAGAGCGGATTCATCAGCACTGATCCCCACCTCTTTCATGAAGGGCCCATGCCCTGGAGCAGAGCCTGCCTGGGGCCGGGGCGACGGCACAGCTGGCTCCGGTTCCATACAAGCTCTGTGACCCCCCACAGGCCTCAGCTGTTCCCTTTGAACCACACTTTCAAAATCCCAATAAAATAGGCCACATTTGCAATGGGTTGGGTTCCTGACAGCAGGAAGTTGTGGCCGTGTGCCTCCTCGCAGTGCCAGAAAAGCAGCAGACAGGACAAATAGCACGGAGGCGAAGGGAAGGAAAGCCACTGGGTCCCCCTCAGTCGCCTTTCCAGGGCAGCTGGGAGGACAGCAGTGCTTCTCCCTAATGAGGAGTGCAGACAGGGAACACTGCACCCAAAAGGCTATGCCAGGCTTAAGGCCAAGGGGATGGGCAGATAAGACATACTACTGAGATGAGGGTGTTTTCAGCCAGCCTGACAAAGACAGTGTATATCACAAGAGAGAGATGAGTCCCGTCCCTCACTTCACATGCCCCTTCTTTCGTTTTCACTCAGCTCTTTCATTTCACTGGATATTAATGAAAGATCCTTGTAAAAATCTGGTGATTTTCCTTGACCTTAAGCAGCAACAACAATTTCCAGTTCTACCCTCCTGTGCTTACCCTACTCCTGCCATGGGATCGATGCATCAATGCAGACTGTACTTGGACATACATTTGGAAAAAAAACAGACTTTATTGCTTGTGACCCTGACCCTGATCTCTAAGCATCAACTAGACTCCAGAATGGTCTTGCAGAACCCTCCTCTTCCCAGGTGCAAAGAGGCAGACTTTCGGCAAGGGAAGAAGCCAGTGCCAGTTGAGGACTGCTTGCCAACAATAAAATGCTGCCAAAGCTGGGATTCAGGCCCTTACATGTAGCGGATTTAACAAAAACACATTGCAAACTTTCTAGAGGCTTCAGGGGAAAAGAGGGGGAAAAAAAACAGCCGAAGAAATAACAGCAACAACAAAAAAACACACACTGTGCGGAAATCATGTTTCCTTTCCAGGTGACTGAATAACTCATGGCGCTTTTGCAAGATAGGATAAACTCCTTGAGTTCTGCTCCTCCAAACCTCCCATTAGGGAAAATCACGCACCCACTGCTCTTCTCCACATCACAGCAATAACACCCATATCTAAAGGGATGGTGAGGAAAGGGCACAGGCAGAGTAAAGGGGTTTTGCGAGTTGCTGGATCAGTTTCCCATGCTCCCAATGCTAAATCAGAAGCCGGGGGCAAACTGACTCCTGTTATGCTCTTGGGAGTGTTTGTTTGCAAGGTGACTGAGCTGGGATGGCTAGTCTTCCCTTGCCCCGTTACATGCTCAATAATTCATCAGGGCAAACGCAAAGATTATTGACGGCAATAAGTGTGCAAGCCAGGGAGAGAGGAGAAAATAAAATCAATGATTAGCCTCTGCAGAGGCTTGGACATATTAAGCAGGGTGTGTGTGTGTGTGCATGTGCAGTGCCGGCATCTGCCTTGCTTTTTCTTTGCTCAATGATGTGTATGGTCAGTATGAGAGAGAGAAGGCTTGGGACATATTCTGCCATTTGCAGTTTCTATGCCAGATCTCCTGGTGACCACCAATCCACTCTGACCCCTCCCAGGGGGCAGCCAGCACACGAGGAAGGATTAGATGTATAAGTTAAAGCATGCCAAATTGAGATTTACTCATTAGGGTTTTTTGCTGTTATTGTTGGGATCTTTAGGTTTTTTTTTTCCTAGTAAGGGCCAAAAGCAGTAAAAGAGGCTCAGCTGAGTGCCAAAGACATGTTGGTGCCAAGACCTCATTAGTGGAGACTTCTGGGATTCTACTTCTTCACCTTGGCCTCTGAAGTGGTTTGTGTTGATGCCTTTCCCCACGATCCCAAGCTCAGATATTTACTAGGTCGTGCAAGGCCTTGGGGGCACTGCGCAGAACTTGTGATGCCCTTCGGCACAGGCAGCAGGCTGGGAAGGAAGGTCTGGCCTCCCTGGGTGTGAGAGGTGCTGGAGAGGGAATGGAATAAGTATGAGGCTTGCCTGGATAAGCATCTCAGTGTCTTGGATGGGCATGTGCAGCCAGCAGACCTGGCATGGTGTGAGTGCTGGGTGAGGATGGAAAAAGGGACTTTAATTTATTCACTCAGATATGCCCATCACTCTCTGACCCCTACTGAAGCACCCCTGACCTCTATGGAGTCCTTGTTCCCTCAACCCTACTTCAACACACTTCTTGCATGATACCAACCACCACAGGCCCTCCCAAAAGTCCCTGGTCAGGACTGCTGTTCCCTTCACTGGACAGTTGCCGAGAAAGAGAAGAAAGAACATGCTGACCCTCAAGAGTTTCCAAAATGTACAAGAGCCTTTCAGTGCCTAAAGGAGACCAGCTCCTAGCTGTTGACTTGTACTAAGTGAGGGGCATAGGCAAGGAGGCAGAGAGAGGAGAGAACTGGGAGAAAAGTCATAGGAAAGACACTGTAGGAGTTGTGCCACTATCAACGAGCAATAAGCAATCGAGCCGACAGGACACAAAGGTTTTGAGGCCATTAGGTGCTGTCTGGTTTACTGCCTTCTCTCTCTCTTCCTCACGGCCACCAAGGTGCACTCAATACCCCAATGAAACAGAGCAGGAGCTGATTCAGCCTAGGCAGCTGGTGGCTCTTGAACCGGGAAACCCTTTCTCCTAAAAGCCCTGCAGGTGCTGTAACATTTAAGCTCCCACACTTGCAGAGTTCTTGCTTCCCCATACAGAAAGCTCTGGGAATGATCTTCAGGCACTAGTGAGCTCTGTCACAACAGCAAGCCTCCAATCAATGCCTCTTTGTTACAAGCCATGTGAACTCCACTCTGATTTGCACAACCTTGCCTCTGCTGAGCCTC